ACACACCAACACACCAACACACAAACACACACACACACACACAAACACACAAACACACAAACACACAAACACACACACACACACACTCACACACACACACACACACTCACACACACACACACACTAGCGCATAAACGCAGAATCGTACGAGCGCACACACAATGTTGCACATGTACGGGGGATGATCATTCCTGCTAATAACAACATCGAAATCGCATCAACGACAGAAAGGCTGCCAGCCCACCGACGAACATCGAAGTTCACAGCCCACTCAGATGATACAGTATGCTTCCAAAGAAAGGGTTCATTGTGCAAGCTGCAGCATGCTTGCCATAGCACGCAACGCTGACACGCAATGATTAAGCGGTCAGAAAACCGGTCGCTCGGGCGATCACTCCGGTCGAGATTGTCCGGAAGGCAATTGCGATGTGGCCCTTTGGCATGGACGTGGCGGTGAGGCTTGCGGACCTCTTCTGGGAAATGCTGACCCCGAATTCATAAACCCCTGTTTGTTAATATGGGGATGTTCCCCTCCAACAGTGAATCGCCCATTTTGCGCCCTGGCACGGACTTGGCGGTGATTCTTGCGGACCTCTGCTTGGTACTGGTCCGCCGCATGCTTTCACTCGCGCGCTGTTGTGCAGACCACCATATCTAACAAGTCAACAGCTGGGCGGGCAGTTTCATTCTCGGGTACGGAGCCAAAAAGAGTGACACGTGCGACAAAACTTCGACAACACAAGTGGCAAAGTTTGCGACAACACAAGCAACCCTCCGACCTGTTGGAACCTATTGTTTGCGTATAAGGTCCGCTTCCCCCTAACAAGTTTGCATTTGTTGGGGATTGGAAACCCGTGGGTTCAAAGGGCACATGAGAAACCACACAACTTCCAAACCACAAAGCCACCCTCTTTGAGGAAGCTTCTGAGCGGCCGGAGGGTCCCCAAATCGGGCGTCCCATTTCATTTAGGCCCTAAAGGGTCCAAAACTGCCATGGTATCATCTATGGACCGACTTGAACAGGGGTACATGAGGAAAAACCCACCAAATCCCTTGAGCTAAGTCTGGACCTATACTAGGTCCTCCAGTGGAGAGGTTAGAAAAAGGGTACCCTTCTTTTTGTAGTCTCTTTTAGTAGGGAACCCTCCGCCAAAAAAGAAACGGCAGGGAAGGGCACCTTGGGCGACCTTGACACTCAGGCTTCACTCTGACTCCACAAAACGGCCCCCAAAAGCCCCGGTTGCCCCAAAAGCCGCCGCTCTTCGAGGCGCGTTGGGATTCCCGGACCGCACGTTCTCGAAGGGCCGGCCCCACAGACTGCTATGCCCTCCGCTCGTCGACACACCCTCCATGTCCCCGTGGGTGTACACCTCACACCGGCACCAAAGCGCCCGCCGGTGTTGAGCGCCGCAAGCCCGCAGGCAACAGCCAACCCCAATATATGTCTTTTGTTCAGGTATACAGGTATACACAAATGCATACACATGTATACATGTATGTATATGTATGCCCTAGGCATGAAATCCATATCATGATTGATTATTGTCATGAGAATTAAGAAGATGGACTTCGATGGCCTCCGTTAATGTATGTGCATATTATGGCGCCATGGAAACAAAGTTAGCTGACACCCTTTGGTGGGCATCATGTACATGGAGAGTAGCGTTTACGAACAACTCTGGAGGATGTTCCCCCTCTCCGAGTCCGCCCCCAAACAAAAATGCCCATCCAGTACACAGTGTCCTGTCCATAGGTGTCCTTGTTGGGAAAATAGATGGATATCCCTGGTTGATTGAACCACCAGGTAAACCAGGAATCGCCCTCTATTTGAACCAAATCAACCAGGCCCAAAAGACCTGGAAATAACAGGTGAACCTTTTGGGACCTTTACTAAAATTTGACCCAAAATGGGAAAACCAAAAGGTCAGCTCAGGTCGATTCGCTTGGGGCAAGTACACAGTGTCCTGTCATTGCCACCTTTCCTCAGCAAAACGCAAACGCTCTGATCCTGAGCCTGAAGCTGATCCACCAGCCGGGTTTGGCAATTGTTAAGCAGCAGTTTGGGACTCCAAATCCCGATTTTGACACGCCCAAATCGAATGCAGGCTATTCAACTTGTTCCATAATGCTGAACACGGCACCGGCGCAGGCCTTTGTTAACATTCAGCCGGCAAACCGCAGGCTTGTGCGTTTGCCCCGAAAAAGTGCTGCAACCTGCCCATTGCACTGGCTCTAGCGCGGACCCTTGTGTGTTCGACTCCCATAGCTAACCCTGGCCTCTCATTGCGCCGAATCCGTCTGGCCAACATCCAACCACCAAACCCTGAGATATTGAAGGGCTTCCCTTGCCGACGCGTGTTGAACATGACCTGGAAAGGGTAAAACAAAAAAATGGAGGATGCCCTGGGTGGAGTCGGCCTAAAGGAAAACCAAACAACAACCACCCACTTCTGGGAGTTTTTGTGGACTTGGAGCCCCAAAGTTGTGGTTTTCATGTTGGTGAGTTTCCCTGCAACAACCACCAAGCACAGGTACCTTTCCTCCCACTTTGCCATAGCACCTGCATGTTGGTACCCGGAAGATCAATCTCTTCTTGCAGGGACCTTTTCCCTGCGAGCCATGGCAACGTGGGGAGGGAGGCTAGATGGCAGTCCCTTTCCATCCGGACTGCCAAAGAGAATCGGACTTGAGGGACAACTACAACCAACTACGACCAACTGCGGGCACCCTTCCAAACCCAAACACGGACTGGAAGATCCATTTCCTCTTGGTTCCAAATTCCTCCGGTGCCATGGGAGGGTGCCGAAGATCCAAGCTGAAAAGCACGCCACCCACCTGGAAGATCCAAAGACCCTCTTGCAGGCACCTCTTCTTCCATCTGCGCAAGCCCCCTGGAGAAAAAAAAATAAAAAATCCAGCAGTGCTCGATTCCTGTTAAAACCAACAGGGGAAAATTAAAAATACTCTTGAACAAATGGAAGGTATCCAAATATCTTTACAAACCTTTTTTTGGGGATTCAGGCCACCTTTACAAGGAGCACCCCCTTATCAATAGGACAAAAGTATTTGGGTGCCATGGACAAAAAGAACAACAACGCGCCTCGCTCGTTTGGGGCGTTGCCACTCCGCTCTCCCAGCCCGGGCGCCGTCTCTGTGACAGTGGTGGCCGCAATGCCCTTGCAGGTGTCCCCCGCAGCGAGGCACACACCATTCACGGTGCCACACCTTGAGCAGCTGGTGACGGTGGGGTGTGTGGGTGTGTGTGCGCGTTTTTTTGTTGTTGGAATCTTCAAACTTGTGTTTGACCCCATTAACATCAACCAACCAGAATATAGGGGGTGTTTGTGGGTTTCGTGGGGAATCACTCTTGAAGGGGCCAAAAACCAGCCCCCCCCCCCCCCATGAATAAACTGGGGTTGATGAAAATCCAGGGTCAACATGATGTTTTCGGATCGCGGCGTCCGCCCGCTGGTGATCAACCAACTTGCAGGATGAAGCTTAGGTCAACGGTTAACTTTTTACTTCTTTTTTTTTTGGGGGGGGGGGGGCGCGCCTTAAAATAGGGAAACCAACCGAAGAAGCGATATTTGTTGGGGCGAGCGTCTTAAAATAGGGAAAACACCCAAAGAAGCGATTTTTGTGGAGTTTGTTGTTTTTCTCCTCGGGGGGTACCCTTTTTGGAGTTGGTGTGAAGGGAAGCCAAACAGAAACCAACCATTTTGGGGAGTCCCTTCTTTTGAGGCAACTCCATGTTATGGGCATGATGGCCTTGGTAAATGGCTCATAAAACCAATATAAACCAATCACCCCCCCCCATATCTAACCCAAGTAACCTAAAAAGGACATCTATGCATATGGGTGTCTGTTTTTGTTGAAGGTACTCTTTCTGGGGTTGTTGTTTCCGGGCAAGTGCGGACATTTGTCGGATAGACCAATGGAATTAGAAAAAGCTGAGTGCAGAGATTCCTTCATGGTTGAACATCATGTGACACGCAAGACCAGCACTATGATGGGAGTCTGGGCCTCAGACACGTAGGAAACTTTAAGTTTTTCCAGCTGTGTCTTCCTCCCAGACCTCCGGTCATAGAACTTTTCCTAAGACACCCCAAACACATCACCCCCCCAGATATTCCGAAAATGGTCTTTGTTGAAAAGAGGGCACTCCTTTTTCGTATTTGATTTTAAGCAGGAATGAACCTGTGGTCCGAGATCTTTTGTAAAACCTTTCGCATAATATCTTTTGCAGTGGGAGCGAAGAAACGCTGCAATCTGCCCCTCACTTCCGATCGAGTGGATTGGCCAACACAAGTAACCAAACTTGTTGGCCACTAAGATGGTCTTCCCACAGAGCTTGTCCAGGAAATGAGGAAGTCAGACTACCTTTACAGGTCTTTTATAATTGTCCCTCTATGTCCACTTGGAGCATCCCAAGGGAAACTCACCTTTGAGCTTTGAAGAGATGCGAAGAAAGTCTGGGACCTCGGGAAGTGAGCTGCACGCCTTCACAAGTTGTTCAGGTCTTCACTGCTCGTCGTGTTTCTCATGGCTTGTTAAGCTCTTTTTTTTTAGCCGTATGGGCTTATTTGGGCTCCCCCCCTCTCTCCTCCCCCCACAGCCCCCATGATGTTTCAGAACATGTGTCATTTTCTTGCTGCTTTGGTCACCCACGGTGGGGTGAATCGTTTGGGACTAGCCCGAAACAGCCGGAAATGGGGAACTGAACAATTTGACGGCTGCTGCAATCATGTTGGCGGTCTAAACCCACCACAGTGCTGATCATGAGCGGCTTCGTGCCGGGTCCTTTCTGCCAACATAAGTTCAGCCACGAAGGGCATGGGTAAATTGGGTGGTGCCAGCGCCCTGAAAAGACTGTGGCTACCTTGAAAACGAGAGACTATCATCTGCCCTAAGGGTTCTGACCCCTCCAATGCAGACCCCGGCCCCATAAGGGACCCTCCAAAAAAGAACCCAAAGAGACCAATTCCTCATGGGCTTTCAAACACAACCCATGTCGAGGCCCCAAAAACCATCGACTCGGACCCTTAAAGTGGAAACTCTGCAACCAAGGCACTGGATGTACTCCTGGCGAGCTCAGGCTGGAGACTGAAACACGACTCAAGACCAAGGGAAACCCATCGCTCCGTGGGTTTGTAAGCTGAGGGGTGGTTTGGTGGTTTGGTGGTTTGGTGGTCCGAGGGTTTCATCTACCATCAAGAAGAACAATCGGTTCAAATCCCCAAACCACCAATTCGGGGAAGCTCCTACGGCACAAAAACGCGGCCTTTGGTGCGGAGAAAAAAGAAAAGCAAGGAATGCCAAACATGCTGCTGCTAAATCTTAGCTTGGAAGCAAAGCCCCTCAAAATAACCCCTCCTTTGCTGGATGCTTCATAGAAGAAACCAGCCAAAAACAAAAACATGCAACTACCGAGGCAACTGGAAAAGCGCCTTCTTTGATGAATGCGTCATGGAAGAAACACACACAAACAAAAACTACTGGGGCAACTGGAAAAGCCCCTTGTTTACTGGATGCTTCATAGAACAGATGTACATGTATATTATATATATATATATTATACATATATATGTGGGTGTGGCTCAAATTAAAGAACTAGGGTTACGAAGGATTTAGTCCCTGGTTCCATTTACCAAAGCGCCATCTTGGTAGATATGTTTGAGCCACAGCCATATGGCCATGGGTCAAAACCAAATCGTACCCCCAATGAACATCCCAATCCCCACTAAAATAGACCAAAATGTGTGGTGCACCTACCCCAACATGGTACCATTGATTTTGACCCACAGCCAATGTGGGTACGGCTCAAAAGTAAAGAGCTGGCGTTACTCGGGTTCTAGTCTTTGGTTCCATTTACCAAGGTGCCATTTTGGTACCACTGTTTTGAACCACAGCCATATCTATGTTTATATACCTGGAGTCTCCATGACCCTTAAAAATGGGGTCATTACCCAAAATTGAGGGGTCATGGACCCATTTTTGAAGGGTCATGGTGACTCTAGGTATAACAGCCATATATATATATATATACATATACATATATATACAGTATACATATATATATATATGTGCATCAATTAAACGACCGGGGCCATGGGTTCGACTCGGCATCGCATCGATCCAACGCCGTGTCGTTCACTCCTCCGGCTGGAGCTCCACGTAGGTGTCGTTACCTCACCGAAACGAGGTCCAGTCGAGTCGGGCCGGGTGGCTTCTGCCTCTGAAATAAAAACGCCCTATTGGGATGCTTGGTTCAAAGGGAAGGAGGAAACCACCCCCAATTTGTTTGGGGGGGGGTTTAATTTTAAAGGGAAGGACACCCTTTCCGAGTTTTTTGGGGTTCGTAAAATTTTGAGAAACACTTGGACTTGATAGTCGACGCCCTTTACTTTACCAACTTGGCAGCAGAAAACTGGGGGGAAAACACCCAGGTCGGGAAAAACATATTGGGGTGTCTCATGATTGTCCCTCTGGTTGTTCTTTTGGTGCGGAAATCCCCCCTAGTGTAAGGGGGAGGGGGGTGTATTTGCAGCCTCTAGTAAACACGAACAGAACCAACACAACAAACAACTTGCATCCTATTTTGTTGGGGGGAAGTGCCCTCAAAAAGTTCCCCTCACGTGAACCCCCGCTACACCTTCTCAACCGGGAGTTTCTTAATCCCAACATCAGGCATCAGCGACCTTTATCGAAACCCAATCTTGCGAAAAACTGCCCTTTTAAATCTGCACTGATCAGAATGGAAGGTTTGCCAATGCCTATCCATAATCCCTGTTGGGAAACCGCAAGCGGGACCAAATCCTTCAACCAACTACCCCGAAACAAACATGGCTGTGGCTCAAAACCATGTACCAAAATAGCATCCTGGCAAGTGCCAAAGACTAAAACCCGCGTAACCCTACCATGGTTGAAACCTTTGCTTGTTTGGCATTTACAGGGGGAATCGCGTCATTCCGTTGGGTTTCTTGGGCGGTGCGAAATGGATTTTGTCCACCCACCGATTGTTTTTGGCCACAGCCACATGGTCGAAAAAGCTGTCGTTGGATGAGCGAAGTACATATGGGCGTCTCTGTTTTAGGGGGACCCCTCCCCAAAATGGTGGTTTTTCGTTAGGTTGTTTTTTAAGCCACCCCCAGAATGGGTGCGCTCAAATCATCGGCCAGTACTGTTGACCTCAACCCCCCAGTTTATTACTAGGGGGTTCGGTGTCCTTGGGTGGAATGTGGGGAATCTGACCACTTTTGGAGGGGGGTTCACCCCATATTCATAAACCGCGGTTTGAAATTCAGATTCCGGATTTCGTCTTTCCTTTAGGTTTCTCTTTAAACCAGCCCCAAAATGGATGCCCTCCAAAAACAAAAAACAGACCCCTACCTTTTATTCGGAAGTTCGACCGCCCGCTTTTATTGGACGAGCTGCAGGCGTCCGGCTTCACCCCGTCGCAGCGCCAGGGGCCCAGTCCGCCAAACTTCCCGCAGCAGATGCCCTCAGCGGCGGAAGCGGCGGATTTGCGGAGGGTCGCTGGGTTGGAAAAAAACACCGCCAAGATAAAAAAGGCTGTGGCAACCAAAATTCAGCAGGGGCAAAAACCGCGGAACCGTTTTGGTCCCATGTTTCTCCACTTACCGATCGGGCCACCCATTTTGGAAAGTTCCGGTTGAATTCGCCACGGCATCATCTTGCAGTAGCCACCTCCGGGGCCTCCGACGGCCAGAAGCGCGACTTGGGATTTTTTTCGGATCTGTGGCGTCCGAATTTTTCGGCCCACGCCACGCGTCCGAAAATTTTTGGGCGTACAGCAGGCCAAGGACCTGAAATTTCGCCGTTTTTCCAGGGTATATACCTTCCATTTCCATTCTTTCCATCCTTCTTTCTACAAAAGCTCCGGAAACCCAGGGAAAACCGCCGGTTTCTCTTCTCTGCCATTTTTTCTATCAGGAACCTGCAACCAGGAAACAGATCTTGCTTTTCTCAAATGCATCAAGGTCTATTCATAGAGAATGGTTGCTTAGGACACTTTTCTGCTAATGGGGATTTCAGGTTCGCAGTGCTTCCAGAAACCATCTCCGAAATCAAAGTTTGGGTGTTTGACACAGAATGGAATGACGACGAGTCCGGGTGTTGGGAAAGAACCATTTGGGGATTCCCGAATAAAGGACGCCACAAGGGATGGGTGTTTCTTGGGGTCATTCCATGTCTCATTCCCTGCCTATCGAACCAGCAAGCCAAGGATCCTGAAAACTCAGCACCCGCTCAGACAAGTATAAATTATTACAAATTATAATTCGAAATACCAACTTTGAAGGAGGTGGGCCTGCACCAACGCGATCCAAAAGTCGGCCCCACGCGGGGATGGGTCAACCACTGCGACTGCTGGACCGGGATTTGGAACATAACACGTCCTTTCGTTTCGCGCCGAACACACTTCGTCCTTGACCTACAAACAAAAGGTGACCGCCTTTGGGAACCTTGACCACATATTCCAAATCCGAACCAAAAGGTGAACAAGTATCTTCACTGTGGGCCACGCAAACGCAAATCATTGACTGGTTACACCCCTTTGAACAAGGGTTGCGGGGGATCAAGCTACCATCAGTCAAACCATAAAACCATCTATCCGAATTGATAACGCTCAGCTTCTTGCTCGTAGTTTTTCCAGGTATGCAATGATCTGGGTGCACGCTCAACCTGGCCGGCTGGTAAATCTAGTAAGCTGGAAGCTAACTCACAACAGCAAATTGTGCAGCGTAAGTTAGTATGGCTGACGCCTTCCCTGTTGATTCACTTTGACACGATGCCAGGTTCCTCACTATTCACAAAGGGACCAAGAACAAACACAAACAAACATGAACCGGGGTGTGCTGGAGAACACGGGGTTGCCCAATCCTTTTCCGCCACCGCATTGGAAACTGGCTTGGCGGTCATCAGTTGTATGGCAACCAAACCGACCACGTGACAAGTCTTGCTCCCTTGGCACAACAAATCCGCACTCCGAAGGGAGTATCGAGGGGGCCTCCAAATGGAGTTGTTTTGAGGGCTCATGAGGAATGGGTCGGGTCCGGGTCTGCTTTGGAGGGGTCATGACCCGCAGAAACTATGATCAAAGTTGAAGTGGCTTTGGTGGCTTGCTTTGGTGGCAACTGCGTCAGCTCTCATTTACACCGGAGGCAAATCATTCTGGGCCAGACATGGAATCCGCAAAAACCTTCGTGATGACCTCAATCGGCTTCACTTTGATTGGTCTGGAGCGGAATCGCTGGCTTTAGGGGTTCACATTTACCCTCTCAAGAACCCGGGGATCAAAACCGAACCAATAACCCGAACATATCCCAAACCACCACCCTGACGGGTTACCTCAGCAAAACAAAAAAACATCCAGGCGGGCCCAACTTCGAAAGCTCTTCCCCGCCGAGCTTCGCTCCCGCACTTTGGAGTGGTCGTGGTGGTGGTCGTGGACTGGAGCGTTCGCGGATCCGATGATCCAAGCCAAGCACCCCCCTCATCCAGACTCTCCCCCTGGTTTCCTTCAAAGGCCGCGGGGTGGGGTTGGATTCTATGAAAACAGACGGGCTCATGGCAAATCCATGTTGCTATGCTGCCCGAGGCTACGCGACCTCATGCATACCTTGATAATCTACCCCGTGCAAGACGGGTTGCCCCCCCCCCCGCGAATGGAATGGAACAATATGACAGCACCCCCCACCAGCTGCTGTCCAAATTCTCAAGTACCGTCACGTTGTTGTCCTTGAAGTGACCTGTTCAGCCTGAGTTTTGAAGACACTGCTAGGATCTGGGGCGTCCAAGCCGCCTTAAGCGTACCAACGAGAAAAAACGATCTCGTCCTCGCGATCCGATCTTCAAGGAGGGAAACGTGCAAATGCCGTGCAAAAGGTGGCTCCCAATTTGAGGAAAGGCCCGAATGCCTTTGTCTCCAAATGGAACCCTTGACACGGCCGGTTTCTTTCTCTTGTTCCTTGGAGAACAT